TGGCAAAACCCCTGGTTCTCTATTAAACAATACAAAAAAATTAGCCCCGGCGTGATGGGTTCCTGTAGCCCCCAGCTATTTGGGGAGGTTGAGGCAAGAGAACTTGTGAACCCAGAAGCGGAGGTTGCAAGGTTGCAATGAGCTGAGATCGCACCATTGCACTCCAGCCTGGGTGACAGAGTGAGGACTCTGTCTCAAAAAAAAAAAAAAAAAAAAGAAAAGAAAAAAAGAAACCACGCATATCTGCTGGTATGGTGGCTCTCACACCTGTGTAATCTCAGCCATTTGGCAGGCTGGAGGTGGGTGGATCAGTTGAGGCCCAGGGAGTTTGAGACCAGGCTGGGGCCAATATAGTGGAACCCCTTTCTGTACCAAAAGTACAAAAAAAAAAAAAAAAAAATTAGCGTGCATGGTGGTGCACACAGGTAATCCCAGCTACTTGGGAGGCTGAGGCAGAAGAATCGCTTGAGTCTGAGAGGTGGAGGTTGCAGTGACTGAGCCATGTTGGCCAGGCTGGTCTTGAACTCCTGACCTCAGTTGATCCACATGCCTCGATCTCCCAAAGTGCTGGGATTAGAGGCGTGAGCTACCACGCCAGGCCAGATCCTTTTTTGAGTCAGGCAATGATAGAGCATTTGCCATGTGTCCAATCACAGGGAGGCTGGGCCTCACGTCCATTCTCATTTCAGACTTAAGCCATGTACTTTCTCCTGCAGATCCACGTTTAAGAGGCTTTTTCTGCATAAAACCAAGGATAAAAAATACAGCCTGGAGGGCGTGGAGGAGTTGGAGAATGCTGTGTCCGGGCAGGTGGTGCTGGAAACTGCCACCATGAAAAAGGGCCTGGAAGGTTGGTCACCTGCAGCCTCAGGGACAGCAGAGCCACCAGTGTCCCTGGGGACATTCATTGTCCCCAAATGGGGCCTTGAGTTGGCTGTGGGCCAAGCCCTAGGCACAAAGCCAGGGGTTTCTGGCCCTGGATAAAGGCATGCCGTAGGAGGTCCTCTGCATCCTTCCCCCAAACCCACCCTCACCAGCTGCTTCCTGTCCCATCCTCAGCCCCCTCCGGATACCAGCACCGCCACGCCGCAGGTGAGAAGCGCACCAAGGAGCCAGGAGGCAAAGGGAAGAAGAACCGAAATGTCAAGATTGGGAAGATCACGGTGTCAGAGAAGTGGCGGGAATCGGTATTCCGCCAGATCACCAACGCCAATGAACTCAAGTACCTGGACGAGTTCCTGCTCAACAAGGTGGGACCACTAGGGGAGAGCCAGGGGCATGAGGCCCGGTCCGCAGGGGAACCGTCACAGCCAGGCAGTGCTTTCTGAAACACACACCACAGGGCTTAGCAGGTCAAGAATACAAAGTGCAGGCTCCCGCCGGGGACAGCGGTTCGTGTTTGTCATCCCAGCACCCTGGGAGGCTGAGGCAGAAGAATCACTTGGGCCCAGCAGTTCAAAACCAGCCTGGGCAACAGAAAGACCCCATCTCTACAAAAGGTTTAGATTTTAGCTGGTGTGGTGGTACACACCTGTAGTCCCAGCTCCTGGGGGGCTGAGGCAGGAAGATCGCTTGAGCCCAAGAGGTTGAGGCACCCCGAGCCATGATCGCAGCACTGCACTCCAGCCTGGGTGACAGAGCAGACCCTGGCTCAAAAATAATAATAATGCATATTTGGTCTCAAAGCAAAGATTGATGAAGCACTGTGTGCAACAGAAGTGGAGGCGAGCAAGCTGTGGCTGCCTTCAGGAGGGTTATACCCCATGGGGGTGGGGGTTGGGCAATCCTGCAGCAGATAGAGCTATGTTTGGGAGCTGCACAGCGGCCACAGGGGGTCGATGGGGACACAGAAGGATCAGGAAACCCTGCTAGGAGTAGAGACATCTTGAAATGACCAGACCATTCCAGGCATCCCGGTCCTAAGGTATGGCTGGGTGTTGAGCCCCTGTGTGGGGCAGCAGGAAGGCCCTGAACTGACCTGTAGCTCTCATCTAGGGGGATTCTGTCCTCCAGGGAACACTGGCAATGTCTGGGGACATTGGGGTTATCACAACCTGGAGGGAGGGCGCTGTTGGCCTCTGGTGGGTGGAGGCCAGGGATGCTGCTTAACCTGCTGTGGCGCACAGGGCAGGCCCCACTGTGGAGAGTAGTCCTGCCGTGAATGTCAGTGGCTTTATCACTCTGACATTTATAACTCTGAGATGAGAGATCAGGCTTGGTCAGAGGGACTGGATTTTATCCCAAGAGCCTAGGGGATGACTTAAGAGAGGATACAAGTGACCCGTTGGGCACCTCCTCGGGTACGCAGTTCCCCAGGCCTGAGGCACGCAGGGTCAGCTCCTCTCCCCTTCCAGATAAATGACCTCCGTTCCCAGAAGACGCCCATCGAGAGCTTGTTTATCGAAGCCACCGAGAAGTTCAGGAGCAACATCAAAACGATGTACTCTGTCCCGGTATGTGGCGGCCCGGCCTTCAGCCTTTCCCATACCCTGCTCAGACCCGTCATTCCCATCCGCCCCTTGCCCGGGCCTGCAGGGTGACGCCTAGCATTCCCACAGAACGGGAAGATCCACGTGGGCTACAAGGATCTGATGGAGAACTACCAGATCGTCGTCAGCAACCTGGCCACTGAGCGCGGCGAGAAGGACACCAACCTGGTCCTCAACCTCTTCCAGTCACTGCTAGATGAGTTCACCCGTGGCTACACCAAGAATGACTTCGAGCCAGTGAAGGTGGGCAGCCCAGCACGCCGCGCCCACCCATGCCTTGCCATGATCACTTACACCAAGCCCACCTGACATGCCACGCCCACCCATGCCCTGCCCATACCACGCCCACCATGCCATGCCATGATCACTTACACCATGCTTACCTGTGCCTTGCCATGATCACTTATGCCACACCCACCTGACATGCCACGCCCACCCATGCCACGCCTATGACATGCAACATGCTATGCCTACCCATCGCTTGCCATGATTACATGCCACACCCATTTGTGCTACGCCTACCTCCTGGTGGGGAGTCCTGCACCCTCCCCACCAGGGCCTCACTTCTGGGCGTGGGGTGTCTGAATGGGGGGTGTTAGGGACAGTGATGCCACTCCAGGTGAGGGAGGGTTCAGGGTACCCAGATTCCTGGGTTATGGGGTGCCAGGGGTGGGTTGGGTCACTTCCCAGGGGGCCCCCATCGACCTCCTCCTTGTGTTCCTCACAGCAGAGCAAAGCTCAGAAGAAGAAGCGGAAGCAGGAGCGCGCTGTGAGTAGGCTGCACGTGGATGACAGTCCCAGCAGGCGAACGTTGGCAGGAGTGTGCACGTGTGTGTCAGTGTCAGTGTGTGCATGGGCCCGTCTGCACGCGTATGTGTGCGTGGATACGCGTGAGTGTGTTTTCTCCCCAGCACATACGGAGCCGTAGTCTTGAATAAGCAGACCCACCCCTGAGATCCCGTGGGCCATCATCCACCAGTGGCTGGGGAGGGCTGCCTTCCCCTTCCCCCGCCCAGCACCCTTCTCTGGCCTCACAGGTCCAGGAGCACAACGGGCACGTGTTCGCCAGCTACCAGGTTAGCATCCCGCAGTCGTGCGAGCAGTGCCTCTCCTATATCTGGCTCATGGACAAGGCCCTGCTCTGCAGCGGTGAGTGGCTCCCCGCCCAGGCCCCAAACCCCTCCACGTCCCCCACCACCCCTCACTGCTCAAGAGGGCTTCAGGGCCAGGCAGAATGGCTCACCCCTGTAATCCCAGCACTTTGGGAGGCCGAGGCAGGGGGATAGCGAGGTCAGGAGTTCGAGACCAGCCTGGCCAAGATGGTGAAACCTCATCTCTACTAAAAATACAAAAATTATCTGGGCACGGTGGTGGGCACCTGTAATCCCAGATACTCAGGAGGCTGAGGCAGGAGAATCACTTGAACCTGGGAGGCAAAGGTTGCAGTGAGCCAGGATCACGCCACTGCACTCTAACCTGGCCAACAGAGCAAGACTCAGTCTCAAAAACCAAAAAAAGGGTCTTCACCCCAGCCCAGCCACCAGGTCAGATCTTTCTGGACCGTTGCCCCAGCCATATCCCACCCCCTCAAACTGTCCACCATCACCCGAGGGGCAGAGCCCAATTCTCAGCTGGCCCTGAGGCCCCCAGTACCCAGCGCCCACCCCCATCTGCAGCCTCCTCTCCTCCTGGGCCCTGCCTCTCTGTCTGTGTATACGCTGCTCCACCGCCTGAACCACTGGCCCCTCCTTCCCCAGGCTCCTCATGGCCCCTCCCCTGTTGGCCAGACTCAGCCCCAGGGGACCCTAAGAGACAGGGCCCAGGAATGACCCAGCCGATCCATGGTCACACAGCTTTGAGGTGGCCAAGCCAGGACCCAAGCCCAGGCAGCCTCCAGAGGCCCAGCAGGGCCAAGAGGGCCTCTCCCGTATGTGTGTTTCTGCCAGAACCAGTCGGGCCAGGGTCTTTTCAGCCCAGAAAGCAGCCCCACCACCCCACATCTGTCCAACAGTCAGTTGTCATGGTCCTGAGACACAGATGCGGGACCCAGGCCCGTCCCCTCACCTGATTCCATCCTTCCCGGGTGCCAGACACTCTCTTCTTTAGCGTAGCCAGTGTACCCTCTCCCACGACGTCAGCTGGGTGGCCTGGGATTCAATGTGGTTGGAAGAAGGAAAAGTAGCATTGTCTTTGCCCCATGACATCCTCATCCCAAGTCCCCAAAACCACCTCCTGGCAGGACTTTTAGACCTTTAGTTCTGCCAGGAGTTGGCCCTGAGGCCTCGGGGCAAGGATGTCACAGGTCCCCACAAACACCTGCTCGTGGTTCCACTAGCCAGACTGGGTCTGAGGCCACGAATGGCCACCTTGAGCTATGAAGCCTCCCCACATGGCCTCCTCTCTCAGGAGTCAGGGCACAGGTGCCTGCAGTGTGGATTTAGAAGTCGGCAGGCCAGGCACAGTGTCTCATACCTGTAATCCCAGCACTTTGGGAGGCCAGGGAGGGAGGGTCGCTTGAGCTCAGGAGTTCTAAACCAACCTGGGCAACATGGCAAGACCCCGTCTAAACAAAAAAATACAGAAATTAGCCAGGCATGGTGGTGCATGCCTGTAGTCCCAGCTACTTGGGAGGATCACCTGGGCCTGGGAGGTCAAGGCTCCAGTGAGCTATGATAGCACCACTGCACTCTAGCTTGGGTGACAGAGTGAGACCCTGTCTCAAAACGAAAAAAAGGAAACCAAAAAGAAGGCAATCCAGGCCGGGTGCGGTGACTCATGCCTATAATCCCAACACTTTGGGAGTCCAAGGTGGGCGGGTCACCTGAGGTTGGAAGTTCAAGACCAGCCTGACTAACATGGAGAAACCCTGTCACTACTAAGAATACAAAATTAGCCAGGCGTGGTGGCCCATGCCTGTAAATCCCAGCTACTTGGGAGGCTGAGGCAGGAGAATCACTTGAACCCGGGAGGCAGAGGTTGTGGTGAGCCAAGATTGCGCCATTGCACTCCAGCCTGAGCAACAAGAGTGAAACTCCATCTCAAAAAAAAAAAAAAAAGGCAGTCGGCGGCCCCCGGCCAGCTGGGTGGACGGCTGCAGGAATCTGGGGTCCCCAGCACCCTCTGTGACTCCCACCCTGTGACCTCCTAGTGTGCAAGATGACCTGCCACAAGAAGTGTGTGCACAAGATTCAGAGCCACTGCTCCTACACCTACGGGAGGAAGGTGAGTGCAGGAGGCCTGGAACTCTCTAGAATGACACTCCACTCAGAGCCCGGTGCACCGGGAGGTGGTGCTTGATGTGAGGGCCAAGCGAAGCATTGAGCAGCCAGCAGGGGGCAGCTGTGGCCTCTGGTTCTGCAGAACACACCATTGTCCCTGGTTCTGTCCAAACCCCTTGAGGCCCCCAGGCAGGGCCCAGGCCTGTGTGTGTGTCTCAGCTCCCCCAGCCCTGCTCATCCTTGCTCCCGAGAGAGTCCTGAGCCATGTAGAGGGAGGCCCCCCAACTCTGTGCATAAGGATGGGGTCCTGGGTGGTAGGGGTGCAACAAGAGTCAGGGTCTACTTCTGTGAGGCAGCTGTCGGGGCCAGGTTATAGCTGTCTCCCCACGAAGGACCATCCATGCCTTGGGTAGCCTACAAAGGAAGCCCCTGCCCAGTGGCTGCCACACTGGCCTTGACCTCTGCAGCCCCACACCCCCAACAACTATGCAGAAGGAGACAGGGAGGGACAGAACAGCAGAGGAAGCCCCGAGGGCCTTGTGCGGGACCAGGAGGGACAGGCCCCCAGAGACAGCTGGAGAGGAAGACAGCCAGGCCCAGACCTGACCCCCCGACACCCGGCACTGCAGGGCGAGCCAGGCGCTGAGCCGGGCCACTTCGGTGTGTGCGTGGACAGCCTGACCAGCGACAAGGCCTCAGTGCCCATTGTGCTGGAGAAGCTCCTGGAACACGTGGAGATGCACGGCCTGTACACCGAGGGCCTCTACCGCAAGTCGGGCGCCGCCAACCGCACTCGGGAGCTCCGGCAGGCGCTGCAGACAGGTGGGCACTGCGGGCAGGTGGGCGCAGTGCCAGGCCCCAGGCGCAGCCGTCTCACCAGTGTGCTGCTCACCAGTCCCACCCCACTCACCCCACAGACCCCACAGCAGTCAAGCTGGAGAATTTCCCCATCCATGCCATCACGGGGGTGCTGAAGCAGTGGCTGCGGGAGCTGCCTGAGCCCCTCATGACCTTCGCACAGTACGGCGACTTCCTCCGAGCCGTTGGTGAGCCCCGCCCGCAGGTGGCCATGGCCAGGGTACAGCACTTGCTGTAACCAGCCCAGGAGGCAGGACCACCCGGTCCACAAGCTGAGAAACTGAGGCCCGAAGCAGTCGGCCCAGCCAAACCGGGTTCCCAGTTTGGGGTGGGGCCAGGACACCTCTCTAGCCATCCATTCTTGCGTGGGCACTACAGGGTGGATGGCACCCGTGCATCTCAGGTCGTGTTGGTGGGGACAACAGGCACCTTGGGGACCCTTGGGAGCTGACGCCCTCAAACCCCACTGCTTGCAGAGCTGCCAGAGAAGCAGGAGCAGCTGGCTGCCATCTATGCCGTCCTGGAGCACCTTCCAGAGGCCAACCACAACTCCCTGGAGAGACTCATCTTCCACCTCGTCAAGCAAGTGCCTCCCCACCTGCCCTCTGTGGGGTTAGGGTTGCACTGGGAACCCCCGAGGCAGCATTTCCCAGGGAGACCCGAGCTGGCGTTCTGTGGTGGTTTCGAACCAGGATGCAGACCGCTGTTGTGGGTTCTGGGAGGGGGCCAGGCTGCTGGGCCGCCCGGGTCCGTTGAGGTACCTCTCTGTGCTGCAGAAGCAGCTTGCGGTGCTGGGCTGCGGCACTGCTTTCCTAACAGGCACCCCAGGGCTCAGAAGTTCAGTCTCGGGGCTCCCTGGGACCTCCCTCCCTCAGCCGTAGCCGTCCTCTAACTGCCAGTGACTGTGCAGGGTGGCCCTGCTCGAGGATGTCAACCGCATGTCGCCCGGGGCCCTGGCCATTATCTTTGCACCCTGCCTCCTGCGCTGCCCTGACAACTCGGACCCCCTGACCAGCATGAAGGATGTCCTCAAGATTACCACGTGAGTGCCCGCCCTGCCCCGGGACCCCACGACAACTCCATCCATCTCTGTGTAAATAAATGTGTAAGAAAAGGTCCAGAGCCGAGTGCAGCGGTTCACACCTGTAATCCCAGCTACTTTGGGAGGCCGAGGCAAGAGGATCACTTGAGGCCAGGAGTTTGAGACCAGCCTGGGCAACACAGTGAGACCCTACAAAAAATTCTGAAATTTTAAATTTTTTTTTTTGGTTTTTTTTTTTTTGTTTTGAGACAGAGTCTTGCTCTGTTGCCCAGGCTGGAGTGCAGTGGCCGGATCTCAAGCTCACTGCAAGCTCCGCCTCCCAGGTTCACACATTCTCTGCCTCAGCCTCCCGAGTAGCTGGGACTACAGGCGCCGCACATCGCCCAGCCTAGTTTTTTGTATTTTTTTAGTAGAGACGGGGTTTCCCGTGTTAGCCCAGGATGGTCTCGATCTCCTGACCTCGTGATCCGCCGCCTCGGCCTTCCAAAGTGCTGGGATTACAGGCGTGAGCCCACCGGCCCGGAAATTTAGGGCCGGGCCGCGGTGGCTCACGCCTGCAATCCCAGCACTTTGGAAGGCCGAGGCGGGCGGATCACGAGGTCAGGAGATCGAGACCATGGTGAAACCCCGTCTCTACTAAAATTAGAAAAAATTAGCCGGGCGCAGTGGCGGGCGCCTGTAGTCCCACGCTACTCGGGAGGCTGAGGCCGGAGAATGGCGTGAACCCGGGAGGCGGAGCTTGCAGTGAGCCGAGATTGCGCCACTGCACTCCAGCCTGGGCAACAGAGCGAGACTCCGTCTCAAAAAAAAAAAAAAAAAATTTAAATTTTTGTCCTACAGAAAATTTAAAAATTAGGCCAGGCATGGTGGTTCACCGCTGTAATCCCAGCACTTCTGGGAGGCCAAGGTGGGTGATCCTTTGAGGCCAAGGAGTTCAAGACCAGCCTGGCCACAATGGTGAAACCCCCGTCTCTATTTAAAAATACAAAACTTGGCCGGGCGCGGTGGCTCAAGCCTGTTATCCCAGCACTTTGGGAGGCCGAGAATGGGCGGATCACGAGGTCAGGAGATCGAGACCATCCTGGCTAACACAGTGAAACCCCATCTCTACTAAAAAAAAATACAACAAAACTACCCGGGCGACGTGGCGGGCGCCTGTAGTCCCAGCCACTCGGGAGGCTGAGGCAGGAGAATGGCAGGAACCCGGGAGGCGGAGCTTGCAGTGAGCTGAGATCCGGCCACTTGCACCTCCAGCCTGGCCAACAGAGCCAGACTCCGTCTCAAAAAAAAAAAAAAAAAATACAAAACTTAAGCTAGGCAAGTTGACTCACGCCTGTAATGCAGCACTTTGGGAGGCGGAGACGGGCGGATCACCTGAGGTCAGTAATTCGAGACCAGCCTGACCAACATGGAGAAATTCCGTCTCTACTAAACATACAAAATTAGCCGGGCGTGGTGGCGCATGCTTGTAATCCTAGCTACCTGGGAGGCTGAGGCAGGAGAATCACTTGAACCCAGGAGGTGGAGGTTGCAGTGAGCCGAGGTCACACCATTGCATTCTAGCCGGGGCAACAAGAGCGAAACTCCGTCTCAAAAAAAGGAAGAAAAAATACAAAAATTAGCTGAGCCTGGTGGCATGTGCCTATAATGCCAGCTACCAGGAGGCGGAGGCTACAGTGAGCTGAGATTGCACCACTGCACTCCAGCTGGGCAACAGCGTGAGACTCCGTCTCAAAAAGAACATTTTAAGAAATTACATATATAAACTAGACAGGTGTGGTGGCAGGCACCTGTAATCCCAGCTGCTTAGGAGGCTGAGGCAGGATAACTGCTTGAACCCAGGAGGTGGAGGTTGCAGTGAGCCGAGATCACGCCACTGCACTCCAGCCTGGGTGACAGAGCGAGACTCCATCTCAAAAAAAAAAAAGCAACTATCCAGATGGCAGTGGTCCCAGCAGTTGTGTCTTTCTGAATGTGCTTTGATGAGCACACCCCATTGTACTAAAACAGAACTTTTAGCAAAGGCTGGATGATAGGCGAATGATAGTGGACTCCTCTCTCTGCTACAAAGCGGCCTATCATGGGAGGATAAGGAACAAGAAGCAGCTCCTGCAGGTTGCACCACGGAGCTCACCCAAACTGAGTCCCTCTGGTATTGACCACTCCAAGCTGAGTCCCTCTGGTTCTGACCACTCCGAGCTGAGACCCTCTGGTACTGACCACTCCAAGCTGAGCCCCTCTGGTACTGACCACTCCAAGCTAAGTCCCTCTGGTACTGACCACTCCAAGCTGAGACCCTCTGGTACTGACCACTCCAAGCTGAGTCCCTCTGGTACTGACCACTCCGGGCTGAGTCCCTCTGGTACTGACCACTCCGGGCTGAGTCCCTCTGGTACTGACCACTCCAAGCTGAGTCCCTCTGGTACTGACCACTCCAAGCTGAGTCCCTCTGATACTGACACCACCAGGCTGGCCTTGACCACCAAGTGGGCATACTGTGGGTCAGAGCACATGTCTGGAGCCCCTGGGGCCATCTGCCTGCTGCCCCTGGGACAAACTGCCCAGCAGCTTGGACTTCTCTGGGAGGCAGGATAATCCCCACCCTGCTGGTGACTAGGGGCTTCAGTTCACTCTGACCCTCCTTCAAACAAGGAGGCGTGCAGAGACAGGAGACTCAGGCTCAGAGAGGTGGAGTGAGCTGCCAAAGGTCACACAGCATGGGAGCCTTCACAGCCGTGTCCCAGGCACTGCGTGGCCTCTGAGCCTCAGCCACTGCCCCCCAGGTACCAACTCCTGGACCTCAAATGTGCCCGGGGCGGTAACTGAGTCACTTCCTCCCGTGGGCCTTCTCTGTAGGTGCGTGGAGATGCTGATCAAGGAGCAGATGAGGAAATACAAAGTGAAGATGGAGGAGATCAGCCAACTGGAGGCTGCAGAGAGCATCGCCTTCCGCAGGCTTTCGCTCCTGCGACAAAATGCTGTGAGTACCAGTGATCGCGGGGGCGGGGCCTCTTTGGTGGGCGGGGTCTGGTGCTGGGCAGGGCCTTTGGCGTGGCTTTGTTGCTGGGAAGGTTGGTGGGCGGGGTCTTGGTGGGACGGGGGCCTTGGGTGGGCGGGACCTCCCATGCCGAGGATGGGACTGGGTAGTGGATGTAGTCTCGGGTAGCCGGGCGGGGCCTCCCTTTCCAGTTCCCCGCCCACTCCTACCACACCCTTGGCCACAGCCATAACCAGCCTGGCTGGGGCCACCGGGCGGTGCAGGCAGGGGCAGACTTACTGCCTTGAACAAAAGACGATGGTCCTCGCTCAGCCTCACTCCAATTGTGTCCCTCTAGGTGAGGCAGGTGGGGGACCAGTTTCCCACTTGCTGGTGGTTCAGGTCATCAGTCCAGCCTTGTCCCTTCTGACCTGGGCCCTCTGCCCCTGGGAAATGTCCCCAGAGCAGAAGAATCAGCCCCACAGTGCAGGGGTGCGTTAGTGGGGAACGGGCTCTGGGCTCCTGTGGGAACCAGGGACCCCCTGTCTTGGTACTGGTCATTGGATGTATCCCCAGCTCATGCCTGTGTCTGTCTTGGCCCATGTGGTCACCCTGTGTTCATCTCTCTCCCAGCTATGGCCTCTCAAACTGGGGTTTTCGTCTCCCTATGAGGGGGTCCTGGTATGTACGCGTTCGGTGGGCCCGCAGTGCATGTCTCCCGGTGCGGTGCATGCTGGAGTTCCCTGGGGCCCCGGGCCCCTCGTAGGATAGACGGAGCCTGTCCTAACCTTCCAGAAGTGCATGCTGGGGAGGCCCCTTGCCTGCTGACCTTCTGTGCTCAGGATGACTAATCGGCCACACGACCACCACTCTGTCCCGTGGGATTCCTAGAGAAGTCTCACTAAGAGCCCAGCGCATCCACATCAGAACTAACCTGGGACCTGCTCACACCTCTGGCACTAACCTCGCCCACTCAGAGGAGTCAGTCAGACCCCTTGCTTCTTTGTTTCAGAACAAGAGCCCCAAGGCCCGGGACAGCCAGGGGGAGGAGCTGGAGGTGCTGCTGGAGGAGGAGGCAGCCGGTGGCGATGAGGACCGGGAAAAAGAGATTCTCATTGAACGGATCCAGTCCATCAAGGAGGAGAAGCAAGTGGCCCGGTCCCCTCCCTCAGTCCTTCATGTTTAGGGCAAGCTGGAGCGCAGGTTCCATCCCTGGTGGTCCGCTTGGCCTAGCCAGGTTTGGGCCTGTCATCCCTGATACTGGCCAAACAACACTGTTTTTTGTTTTTGTTTTTTTTTTTGAGACGGAGTCGCGCTCTGTTGCCCGGGCTGGAGTGCAGAGGCCGGATCTCAGCTCACTGCAAGCTCCGCCTCCCGGGTTTACGCCATTCTCCTGCCTCAGCCTCCAGAGTAGCTGGGACTACAGGCGCCCGCCACCTCACCCGGCTAGATTTTTGTATTTTTTTTGTAGAGACAGGGTTTCACCGTGTTAGCCAGGATGGTCTCGATCTCCTGACCTTGTGATCCGCCCGTCTCGGCCTCCCAAAGTGCTCGGATTACAGGCTTGAGCCACCGCGCCCGGCCCCTTTTTTTTTTTTTTTTTGAAACGGAGTCTCGCTTTGTCACCCAGCTGGAGTGCAGTGGTGCGATCTCGGCTCACTGCAACCTCCGCCTCCCAGGTTCAAGCGATTCTCTGCCTTAGCCTCCAAGTAACTGGGACTACAGGTGCCCACCACCAAACCCAGCTAATTTTGTGTTTTTGGCAGAGACAGGGTTTCAGCACATTGGCCAGGCTGGTTTTGAACTCCTGACCTCAAGTGATCCCCCACCTTGGCCTCCCAAAGTGTTGGGATTACAGGTGTGAGCCACCATACTCGGCCTTTATTTCTGAGACAGGGTCTTGCTCTGTCACCCAGGCTGGATTGTAGTGATGCGATCACGGTTCACTGCAGCCGCAATCGCTTAGGCTCAAGGGGTCCTCCCACCTCAGCCTCCCCAGTAGCTGGAACCACAGGTGCACATCACCACGCCTGCCTAATTTATTTACTTTTTGTAGAACAGGGTCTGCCTATGTTGCCCAGGCTGGGTTCAAACTCCTGGGCTCAAGCAATCTTCTTGCTTGGGGTGGGGGGAGGTTGGGGACATGGAGTTACATCTAGGAGCAGGACGGCCTGCTCTGTTCCACACTGGCCTGGCACTTTTGGTGGAGTGGCTTTGGACACCATGACGCTTTTTCCTCCAGGGAGGACATCACCTATCGGCTGCCGGAGCTGGACCCAAGGGGCTCAGACGAGGAGAACCTGGACTCGGAGACGTCGGCCAGCACCGAGAGCCTGCTGGAGGAGCGGGCCGGGCGGGGGGCCTCGGAAGGTCAGTATTAAGGTAGCGTCTGCTTTTCTCCTTCCCATCCATCCCAGCAGGCCCCAGGGCGAGGGTCCTCCGACTGCCGGCCCTGAAGCTGCAGTAACCCTGCCATCTGTCTCTCAAAAGGGCCCCCTGCGCCTGCTCTCCCTTGCCCCGGCGCGCCCGCCCCGAGCCCCCTCCCCACCGTGGCTGCCCCTCCACGACGAAGGCCGTCGTCCTTCGTAACGGTCAGAGTGAAGACCCCCCGGCGGACCCCCATCATGCCCACGGCCAACATCAAGCTCCCACCAGGCCTGCCCTCCCACCTGCCTTGCTGGGCACCGGGTGCCCGGGAGGCGGCTGCCCCAGTGCGGCGCCGGGAGCCACCTGCCCGCCGCCCGGACCAGGTACATTCCGTGTACGTCACGCCCGGGGTACACCTGCCAACGCAGGGCGCCCTGGAGCCCCTAGAAGAGGATGGCCAGCCACCTGGGGCCAAGCGAAGGTACTCGGACCCCCCAAAGTACTGCCTGCCCCCCGCCTCGGGCCAGGCCAATGGCTGAGGGCCACAGCTGACAAAGTCTGCATGTCCGAGGACGGCCCCTGCACTGGAGCTGGGCGCCAGAGCTGCAGAGCTAGTGTTCGGCCCTTAGAGAAGGATCCAGAATCAAAAGCTCAAGAGCGACGTGAGGTGGGCACCGGCCCCAAGTGCAGAGTCAAGGCAGGGAGAGGCCGGCTGGAGCCAGGCCCCCCTCGCACCCAGCCCCCAAATCACCGACGCACCTGCGGGGAGCGCCACATCTCCGCCTGCAGCCTCACATCTCCCCACTCCCCTTTTGTACGTTTAACCGTTTCTTTGTACGTGGTTTACGTAACTTTAAACTGTAACAGCCTTAATGGAAGACCAAATGGTTTTTTATATGTGTATGTACAAAGTTTTCTATTAACGCTGCCCGTCTCCCTTATAACCTGGACTTGAGCTGTCAGAGCGGAGGCCACTAGGCCCCTGCGCGTCTGAGGCTCAGACCCCTGCTATGGTTGGCTTGGGGTGGCCAGTGGGCTGGGACCCTCCATGAGAGTTTTGGACACTTGGGCCACCTGACCCGTGCCCGTCTGACACATGTCTCCGGGGGACAGCCACCTGGCCAATGTGCATATGAGGACGTGCTGGAACCTTCCATGGGGGTCTAGGCTATTGGCTGGAGCCAGGACATGAGTCAGGGGCACCACAGACCTCACATGCCAGGGAGACTTGAATGTGGCTGTCACTCTTCCGGACGCCAAGGGCTGCAGGAGGCTGGCTGCTCTTGGCACTACCCACCCCGTGTGACAGAACAGGAGCCAGTGACTCAGGACTGCTCACGGACCAGGAGGGCAATGCCTGAAGTCAGACCTCCCTACAGGTCAACAGGGACAACCTGGGGATCTCTGGAGCAGGGCCCTCCTCTCTCAGGCTTGGCCCACTCCCCCAGACACCTGGACACATGGCCACAAATCTGGGACAAAGGGCCCTCCGCACGGCGTGAAATAAAAAGTGCCTGAGAAGTGTGTGCCTGGGATGCCTGCTCATGTGGGATCGGGCTTGGAAGAGCAGGGCCGGGGGGTGGGGGTCTGCCCTGTGGCCTCAGCCAAGAAGGGTGCAGGGTATGGTGGAACACTGTCCTCAAAGATCTGTCTTGACCCTCCAGCAAATGGAGCTCCCAGCAGAGCCTCACTTGGCGAGGAGCACCTGCTGTCCTGGGAGCCTCTCTGGCCTCCCTGTTTCAATGCCCAGTCTCTGGAGCCTAAATGTCAGCTGCAGCCACCACCCATCCATCAGAGGTAGCCAGTTCCCTGTGGGCCCAGCAGGACAGGAACAGATGGGCTCCCAGGCTGCCATCAGATGGGAGTTGTGGGCACTGGCTGGCTGGTGTTGGTTGGGGGGCCCTGAAGAACCCAAGTCCAGACTGCACATGCCAGAGGTTGAGGGGCTTGTCCAAGGCCACACAGCTGGGAGGGGCATGGCTGGGATTTAGACTCTGCCCTGCCAGCCTCTAGAGGCCCCTCTGATGGGCCCTGGGTTTGGTCTCCATGGTTGTGGGGTTTTTTTGTTTGTTTGTTTGTTTGTTTGAAACATGGTCTCTGTCGCCCAGGCGGGAGTGCAGTTCGCACGATCTCAGCCCACTGCAGCCTCCACCTCCCAGGTTCAAGCGATTCTCCTGCCTCAGCCTCCCGAGTAGCTGAGATTACAGGTGTGTACCACCACACCTGGCTAATTTTTGTATTTTTTGATAGACAGGGTTTCACCACGTTGGCCAGGCTGCTCCAAACTCCTGACCTCCAGTGATCCACCCACCTCACCCTCCCAAAGTGCTAGGATTGCAGGCATGAGCCACCACACCCAGCCCTCCATTGTATTTTTCTTTTTTTCTTTTTCTTTTTTTTTGAGATGGATTCTTGCTCTGTTGCCCAAGCTGGAGTGCAATGGCGCAATCTTGGCTCACTGCAACATCTGCCTCCTGGATTCAAGCGATTCGCCTGCCTCAGCTTCCCAAGTAGCTGGGATCACAGGCACCCACCATCACACCCGGCTAATTTTTGTATTTTTAGTCGAGACGGGGTTTCACCATGTTGGCCAGGCTGGTCTCAAACTCCTGACCTCAGTTGATCACCTGCCTCAGCCTCCCTAAGTGCTGGGATTACAGGCGTGAGCTACTGCGCCCATCCGTCTATGGTGTTTTTCAAGGACATCAGGCCCACTGGTGTGACCAAGGTACAGATGATCTAAGGTATGGGAAAACATGAGGGCTGCATGCCAGGCCCTGGTCCCTGTGAAGCCCCCACCCTCATCCTCTCACTCCAGAAGAGTGGCACTGCAGGCATAGGGGTACTCAGCTTCCAGGTAATGAGGTGGGCTGGGAAGGGGTTCTCTCCACGGGGGTCTGGGCGTTAGGGGGAACCCAGCCCCACCTTGCTCACTCTGAGGCAGAGCTGCCCCATATCACCCTTGAGGCAGGTACTGTCACACTGTACATTTCCCGGGGGAAGAAACGGATCAAGAAAAGTTAAACTCGCCCAGGGCCGGGGATGGAATCAGAGCTGGAGCTGTGACCTGGAAGCTCATAACCACAATACAGATGAGCCCCGCTGAGGTGGGGGAAGCCTTGGATTCCTGAATTCCAGGCTAGAGCCCCTCCTACAAGAGAAATCGGGAAGGGCGCGTGGAGGTGAAACAGCTCCGACTGGGAAGAATCCAGGTAGTAGTGGGGTGGGGGGAGGTATTTTGAGCAAGCAAAACAGAACAAGAGGGCACAGTGCAGGGGGGTCTGACACCCGAAGACCCCGGTCGTCCTATCATTCCCGAAGGGTTAACACGCTCTCGAAGAAAAGGAAGTGATTCGCCTGAGTAAGAAAGAATGGGGTGGCGCCTCTCCTATTTTTTTAAAATAGAGGTAGGGTCGCGCTATATTGCCCGGGCTGGCCTCGAACTCCTGGCTTCAAGCAATCCTTTCCCAACTCCGCCTCCTAAAATGCTGGCATTACAGCCCTGAGGCAGCGCGCCCGGCCCAGCGCCCCGCCTCAAAACAAGGTATTACTTCTGCTCCAAACAAAGATGGGCCAGCGAACTGGAGCAGGCGAAACATCCGCCCGGAAGGCCACTTGAAGGCACTTCCGCCCTCTCTTAACATGGCGCCGGCGGAAGGGGCGGGGTAGGGCCGGGCGATAATGGCGGCTTCGAGGCTGGAGCTGAACCTGGTGCGGCTACTATCCCGCTGCGAGGCGATGGCAGCGGAGAAACGGGACCCGGACGAGTGGCGCCTGGAGAAGGTGAGGGGATCTCGCACTGCCGCGTAGAGTCCGACTCCCGGGGGGTGGTTCCTAGGGTTGGAAGCCACCTAGCCGGACTCCCCTGCCCCAGTAGCCTCTCGGGCAGCGCCCTTTCCGGTCAGTCCCGCCACGTCTACCTGTAGCTTCCGCCCCCGTCCCTGGGACTCCGCTCCTCCCCCACTGGCCCCCCCTCCTTTGCGCTTGACCCCTCCCATTTGTCGGCCCCGCCCCCCACTCCCATGAGCAGGACTTGGGAACGACCCCCGGGTGACAATCCACTTTTCCTCCCCAGTACGTGGGAGCCCTGGAGGACATGTTGCAGGCCCTGAAGGTCCACGCGAGGTGAGTGCAGGCAGCCTTACCGCTTTCACATCAGCACGTGGCTATTCTGGGACATCCCAGTACCGCTGTCCCAGCTGGGACCCTTCCCTGAGCTGGGGACCATGGACAGGTTTTCTTTTTCTTCTTCCTACCTCCCAGCAAACCGGCCTCTGAGGTGATCAATGAATATTCCTGGAAGGTGGATTTTCTGAAGGGGATGCTGCAAGCCGAGAAGCTGGTAAGAAGGGGTGCCCCTCTCCCTCAGCCCCCATCACCGCTCACTTTCGTCCCCAGGACCTGCCCCTCCAGTGACTTCTCTTCCCACATTTCTGCAGACCTCCTCCTCAGAGAAAGCACTGGCCAACCAGTTCCTGGCCCCTGGCCGTGTGCCAACCACAGCCAGAGAGCGAGTGCCCGCCACAAAGACGGTGCATCTGCAGTCACGGGCGCGGTACACCAGCGAGATGCGGAGTGAGCTACTAGGCACGGTAGGGCTCCTTCCCTGGTCCCTGGGAACCCCTTGGACAGGGACGGGGGTTCTATGCCTGCAGGCAGCCGGAACCACAATACTGTCAGATACAGGGGCTCTGAGGGGGTCCAGCAATCGCTTCCCTGGGTCATCACACAAGGCCGCCCAACAGAGGGGCACTGTGGCTAAGGCTTTGCTAGATGAATAGCAAATTTGGTACAAGGCAAAAATGGAACGTGTCTGGTTAAGCCCCAGAGTTGGCCCAAGAGCAGGGTTTGAGTCCTGGCTTGCAACTTACAAGACACGAAAGTTTCTTCAGCTGTAAAAGAAGATGACAAGTTCCTTTCTGAGCACTTTATGTGGATCAGCTCAATCTTTTAAAATATGAGTTGTTGTGGCGGGGTGCGGCAGCTCACGCCTGTAATCCCAGCACTTTGGAGGCCAAGGCGGGCAGATCATTTGAGGTCGCGAGTTAGAGACCAGCCTGACCAACATGGAGAAACCCCGTCTTTACTAAAAATACAAAATTAGCTGGGCATGGTGGCGCATGCCTGTAATCCCAGCTACTCAAGAGGCTGAGGCAGGAGAATCGCTTGAACCTGGGAGGCAGAGGTAGCGGTGAGCCAAGATTGAGCCATTGCACTCCAGCCTGGGCAATAAGAGCAAAACTCCATCTCAAAAAATATATATATATGAGTGGTTGTTACCAGTTTATAGTTGAGGAAACAGGCTCAGAGGTCATGGGATTTCCCCATGTCCTGACTGAAGGTGAAAAGGTTGAGATCAGAAGGGACAGGTTTGGGAACAAGACAAGGGGGGTGACTTCATGGCATTTACTTTTTTTTTTTTTTTTTGAGATGGAGATTCACTCTTGTTGCCGAGGCTGGAGTGCAGTGGGGCGATCTCGGCTCACTGCAACCTCCGCCTCCTGGGTTCAAGAGATTCTTCTGCCTCAGCCTCCTGAGCCACTGGAATCACAGGCACCCCTACCACACCTGGCTAATTTTTTGTATTTTTAGTAGAGATGGGGTTTCATTACGTTGGCCAGGCTGGTCTCGAACTCCTGACCTCAGGTGACCTGCCCACCTCGGCCTCCCAAAGTGCTGGGAGTGAGCCACCGCGCCCAGTCTCATGCCACTTACTTCTTTCCACAGGACTCTGCAGGTGAGTCACCATGAACACAACAGGACTTGAGGGCCAGCTGCCTAGGACAAGACATACATCCTTGCTGCCCTGGGGCCTCCATGCCCAGCCTGACTCCAACAGCAGCATCACCAAATTACACGTGGAGGAAGAGCCAGGACAGAGGAAATGGCCCCGAGAGGAAACAGAGCTAGGCACTCCTGCCGGGCACAGTGGCTCACACCTGTAATCCCGGCAATTTGGGAGGCTGAGGCAGGTGGATCACCTGAGGTCAGGAGTTTGAGACCAACCTGGCCAACATGACCAAACCTTGTCTCTACTAAAAATACAGAACTTAGCCGGATGCAGTGCCGCCTGTCTGTAGTCCCAGCTCCTCAGGAGGCTGAGGCAGGAGAATTGCTTGAACCCAGGAGGTGGAGGTTGCAATGAGCTGAGATCACACCACTGCACTCCAGCCAGGGTGACACAGCAAGACTCCGTCTCAAAAAAAAAAAAAAAAGGAAAAAAATTAGCCAGGCGTGGTGACGCACACCTATAGTCCCAGCTATTTGGGGGGCTGAGGCAGGAGGATTGCTTGAGGCTGGGAGGGGGAGGTTGCAGTGAGCTGAGATCGCGCCAGTGCACTCCAGCGTGGTTGACAGAGAGAGACTCTATCTCAAAAATAAGCAAATAGATAAATTTGTTAAAGCTAGGCACGCCCAGCCTATGGGACCAAGGCTAGGCTGGAGGGAGGGATCTGGGGTCTGAGGGAACCGAGACAGGAGTAAGGAGACCCTCCTAGAAGAGGGGGTATTCAAGCATGGTCAGAAGCCA